ATCTTTTACCGTTTAGTAAAGATGTATGCTGCCTTAAGTTAGAAATAATTTTTAAAGGATTTTTTTTGGGTTTTATTTTGTTTTTAATCATTTTATTGGGGGCTCGTCAAATTCTTTTTTTTTTTTTTTAAACAAACTTTATTTTCCATCAACTTAGTCTCCAGACATGTTCTCTCTTCAGGACCACGACGTATCAATGTCAAATAAAGTTTGCTTCACTTGCTTCAATTGCTGTCTTCATGCCATTTCAGTTTACTTCCCACAGTGATTTCGCCACACTTGACACAAAGCAGAAGACCACGGGGCCAGGGACTTGAACATTCATCGGCAGCTACACCTAAAGGATGTAATTCTTGGTTCCACAATAGCTGCAGTCCTGGTGGTTTTCCCATAGCCATTCTTGACAAATTTTTGGTGACCTTTATGTATCTTCAAACTTCAGACTTTGTTGTACCTTGAACAGTCTGGCCACGAGGCCCGCTGCCAACGCCCAGCCCCATGGCCGGGCTGGAGGGTGCGTGCTTCTGGCCCCGCAGCCATGCCGAAAAAGCGGGGCTCGAACAATTCTTACCACAATCCATACATCCATCTATTGTGTTGCCATCATCAGTCTCAAAACATTTGCTTTCTATTTGAGCCCTTGATATTAGCGCCTCATTTCCCCCCCTCCCTCTCTGCTCCCCCCTCCCTCATGAACCCTTGATAATTTATAAATTTTTATTTTGTCATATCTTACCCTGTCCGACGTCTCCCCTCACCCACCTCTCTGCTGTTCATCCCCCAGGGAGGAGGTCAACACGTAGAGCCTTGTAATCGGTTCCCCCTTTCTACCCCACCTTCCCTCCACCCTTCTAAAGGACTGTTCTGACGTCTAAAAGATCAGCTGCCTCGGTGACCTTGGACTTCTTTTTCACATGTAAAGTGAGGATATTCTCCTTCATATACATAGTATATACTTAAGACATCACCACAGTGCCTGGCATATATTGGGTACTCAATAAGTGTACTTGTGGGGAACCAACTCCACAGTGGGTCTTAAGGGGCGGGCAGTTGTGTAATTGAAGGGTA